TTTGAAGATGTTAGAGCAAGGATACTTGCACACATGTGATAGGAGGATGATATCATGTTTCAAAAGAAGCTTACTCACGACAAGCGACTACTTAGCGTCAAGCATCCAAATTTCAAACTAAAGAATAATCCACGATATGAAAAATAAAGACAAACCTTTGAAGATGTAAGGTGGCCTAAAAAGAGTAAGAAAAACCCATACCTTTTCTAGAGTATAGTATAGTACGGAGCCACTCAACTGACTCTATTGTGCTTACCTACTTTATGAAAAGATGACTTCTCATGAACAACGATAGGACTATTCACTGTAGCAAAGGACAAGCTTTCCTCCAAAAGCTTGACACGTGTTCTGTACCTTCTGATTTACTCTCCGCTCAGTTATCACTTCTTATATCTTACTCTCTAAGAAACTTACCTAAGAACTTATTTCTCTCACTACTCTCTCTCTCTCTCTCTAAAGAGAAAGAACCACTTTGAACAAGTGAAGAACACTTTTATAAGTCTTTATTTCTTACAGGAAATCTTTGTAATAGTGTGTATCCTTAGATTATTCAGATAAGTTTATTTACCCTATCTCTTCCACAAACAATCTGTAAAATTTGTATTGATCTTCTTTATCAATATACAAATTTTAAAAGTGAAAGTTTCTGTGTTTGTATTCATCCCCCCCCCCCTTCTACAAACTGATTACTTATAACTCTTGTAGATCCGGCTAGGATCAACAGTTTTGCAAAGTCATTTGAAAGGTAAATAAATTATCTTAGAAAAAAGAGATAATAAAACAACAATACAACACTAAAATAAACAGTGCTCTGATATCACTTGTTGGTCTCAGCCGGATCTACAAGAGTTTATAGGTAACAATTTGTAGAATGAGGGATGAATACAAACACAGCAGCTTTCACTTTTAAAAAACTTATATTGATAAAGAAGATCAATATAGATTTTTACAAATTGTTTGCGGAAGAGATATGATACAGAACTTATCTAAACAATCAAAGATACACACAAGTTACAGATAGCAATAAAGAAAAGAGTTATTAAAAGAAATAGTTAAGAAGGTCTTGTGCTCTTCACTTGTTATAATGGAAGTCTTTAGCTAGAGAAGACGAAGACTTGCTGGGAAAAGAGAACTTCTCAGCTATTTATACCCATTGCTTTAAATGCAAGCCAAATGGTACAAAAGCACGTGGCAAGCTTTAAGAGGTGAGTTTGTCCTTTGTTGTAGATATACAGGCTTTTGACCATATATGAATAGTGTCTTTTATAAAGTAGGTAAGCACGCTTGGAGACAATAGAGTGACTCCGTACAGTATTTTACTTTAAAAGGTAAGGGTTTTTCCTTTATGTGCAGAAAGACAAGACAAAAACTAATCTTGTTCAACAAGATTCATCTAAACGTTGACACTGGAATAACGCTGAGGTTTCTTCAGTGTTCGCTCGATCTTGAGTAGATTTCACACTTGTGTAGACGGGCTTGTTATCACTGAAAACCGCTCCAGATCACGAACTTGCTAGTCTCTATCTTTAGCTTATATATTCGATATTGCTGAAGGTTTTGTGGTGTGAGTTTTGTCTTCCTGAAGGATATTGGTCCTCTGAAGGAATTACAATACATGTTCAGCGATTACTAAACAGACTCAGTGATGATCGCTGAAACTAAATACAAAGATAGTACACTTCGTAAGGTAAAATGGATCATCATCAAATCACTGAGAGAGAGGAAAGGGTTATTATAGATTTCAATAACCAATAAATTATAGTCATTGCTCTATTGAATCCACAACTTCTTCCCTTTCAAAATCAAAATCAAGGATTCTAATAGTTAGGGGAAACCACAAAAATGGGAAAATGAAAAAAACTGTTACCATTCTTAAATAACAGTAGAAGTGTCGTTCTACATTTGTTGTCCTCCATGAAGTTTTAATGATACCAGTTGCACCACATTGACATCAAGTCATCGTTTGTGAAATGTTGGTCTTTTTCAAGAAGGTTGGAGAAGAAATCGGGTGAGAGAAGGAAGAAAATGAGGTAAGAGTTAAATGAATCATTGGATATGCATTAAAAAGAGAGGGAAAAGCCAAAAGGATGAAATTGCCCCTCATGTGAGGGGCACGTGCTTTCATTAAGGAAGGGATTTAGTAGGTCGTTGGTGAGAGGGACTCAATGAGTGCGAAAATGTCAACCAGGAGTATTAAATCTGTATTTATTTTGATTTTGGGATCACTGTGGATAGAAAGTGTAAACCACAGGGACCAAATCCGTAACTCTAAACATAAACTAACTTTTACCCTTCCATAAAGCATATTACAATTTTTGTCTATGTGGTTTACTAATAATTTCCATTTTCATACTTGTGATTTAGAAATTGTGATTTTTGTATCTATGGTTTATAATTTATTGTTATTTTCATCTCTGAATTAATTCTTATCTTTTAAATACAAACGGCCAAAATAGTAAAGAATTGCAAACGACAAGGACCGGAACAAAACAAATTGTAAATTAGAAGGACAAAAAACGATAATGAATAACAAACCAGATGGATGAAAATCGCAGATTCTAAACCAGAGAGACGAAAATCACAATGTTTAACAAACAACATGGACTAAAAAATGTAAATTATTCCAAAATACAAGTTAGCTTATAAAGAAATTTATGTTTGCCAAATATGGCCTAACAATATGGCATTATACAACATTAAACATATATCAAATTGATTAATCTTTGACTATCTCATTATAACAAAATCGGCTTTATAAGACACCAAAAATGTTTAAGTGTCCTAATAAACTACTTTATAGAAACTAAGCTTATAGGATAATACACGCATATGTCATATCTAAGAGTGTTGTAATAAGTTTACACAACACTTTTAGACGTCTTAACAAACTTTTTATGAGTTTTTTTTTCAAATATTTGTTATATCAAAGGGCTAATAGGCACTTAATTTCATAAGTGTCCTAAAAAAATTGTTAAGATGTTCAAAAGCGTCGTGTAAACTTATTAAAATATTCAGATAAGATCCTATGAATTTAATTTTTATAAAGTATTCCATTAGAACAATCGGACATTTGTTGTATCCTACAAACCCGAATTTATTATAATCTCAAAACCATATACAACCATAAAATTAAAATCGTGAGATAAGAAATAAAACAAAGAATGAACCATGATTAAAGACACAGAATTCTCAACTTCAAAAACGAAACTGGTAGACATTACATTGCACCGGTATATATCCAGTAATTATGAAAATTAACTTTTAGAGATGCCTTTTATAAACTAAAATTAATAGTATTATTATATTATAATAAGGAAAAAGTACAATAAAAATTAATAGACTTTCTTGTTTGAAATGATTAAGTCCTTAGACTTTTTTTTGGAACAAATAAGTCCTTGGACATTCCAAAACATGTTAAATAAGTCCTTGGACAATTTTTTTAAACAAATAAGTCCTTGCACAATTTTTGGAAACAAATAAGTCCTTGAACATTCCAAAAAATGTTAAATAACTCCTTGGACAATTTTTGGAAC